ATAGAAGACTTGCATTATTTGGAAAAATCAGACAACTGCCATGACAACAGTTCACAATCAGTATGCTCTGGTAACATTGGTTTGGTTAAAGATATTAGTAGAGCAAGCATGTTTAATGAAGATTGGAAGCTGTCCATTGTGCTTTAGTCAGATGGTTGTGATAATTGTGTTACAACTGTACTGCAACTGGGTTGAATGTGGTTGTGGAGATTTTTGTCTCAACAGTTGTGTTTTAGACAAATATTCAAAGATTGTTTTCTGAATTGCCTTTTCATATAATTTCTGATGGCTGATATATGAGTAGTTGTTGCAGTTAATGATTTTTATAGTAAAGGTATTTTAGTTTATATCCAAAAATTTGTGGTATAGTGGACAAAAAAAAAAAAAAAACTATGTAATAGAAAAGTAAGAATGAATTGCATTGTAAATTTGCCCAAAATGCCAATCCCAATGTCAGTCTGTGCCAAAGCTTTTTTTTTTAGCCTACTGGCACTTGAGGCCACCAGGTTCTAGGAATCTAATGCCCCAAAGCAATAACAATGGCCCAAGACTGAACAAATTTACAAAAGTTTGCTGGCCTGCCTTCAATTTCAGTGACATTTGGCGCGGAGCCAGTGTTTAAGTCGCAGACAGACTGCTATGGTTCCATTGCTATATGCTAAGGAAAAACTCTTAAGATATGTCTTCAGACAGTTCTTGAGGTTCTGATAGTTGGCATCAGATGTTATTCCTGAAGTGTTTGACTAGCTTGAGTCTACAATATTCTTAACAGGTGGTGACTTTCTTCATGTAGATTTAATGAGGGAGTTATTCAAAATTATCTATGCACATTTTTTATATATGTATTTAACAATATCATGCAGCATCATCAAGTTGTTTTAATGAACACTTTAAGCAGTATCCGTAGCTTGACCTGAGGGGGTTAATAACCTGGATAACTGCCATCAACACTTAATTTTCAACTCAGTCAGAACATCCATCTTCTAATTTTCACCTGTGGTTTTCTCAGTCTTCCGCTTCATTTGCATTCCTCCTGCACTCTGCAGCAGATATGTACTTGTTCTGTAACTACTGTCAAATGTTCTTTTACAAAGATGGAAAAGAGACTGCTTTTGTGTTTTCTGTTTTTTAAAAGAGTCGGACATGATGGTGATGGTAGCCTAGAATTATATTGATGTAGATATATTTACTTTAGACTTGGTCCCAATATTTGTAAGCTGAGTCTTTGGATTGAGTGGCTTACTTCCCTGAGTTTATTCATGTCTGGACAACAAACTTACTATTTATTTTTTGTCAAATGATTAGAAACTATTTTATATGATTCAATGATGCACTATGTTCTAGTAAAAATGTTTGTTTTGACCTAAGTTTTTTGTTTTTTAGTTAATGGAAAGTTATGTTGTTGTTAGTCTACTAATAAGTATTGTTTGGTTTCATTGATATCTGGATTTTAGTGTATCATTGCGTCAAAAACTGCAAATACATTGAACACCTTTAAAGGTATCATCTGAAAGAAATGCACTGAACTGACACACCTAAGGAAAATATTTGCATATTTCCAAGCGATCACTGCACATTGTATGTGGAGCTAAATAAAACAAGTACATGATGACTACATAAAGAGGAACGCGGTCCTGAGACTTCCACTGCCTCTTTGTTTAAGAATTTCAATTAACACTTAATTTTCATTTAACTTGAGCAGCTCATCCTCATTGAAAATGTACCTGTCACATGGCACATGTCATTGTTAGGTGGAACGTCTCCAGTGCGTGCGTCAGCAGTCAGTGTCCTATTAACCTCACTTGATCCTACCAAGACCTGAGGATTAGATGTTCTTGGTAGAAAGTCTTCAGGGAGGATCAGCTATGTTGTCAACAGCTTTGGCCTTAACCTGTCACTGCTGCTGGCAGTATATGTGGTTTATTTGTTTGCATATGTTACAATTTTTTTATTTCCTTTTTATGTATGTTTCTTATATCTTGTGCTTAGAGATTAATTTATTGGATGCAAGTAAAGTTGATCAAGATGTGTTATTATTAAAATCTGGTACTGTGTGCAGATAAAAGATAAATTCAGGAAGTGATACAGTTTATGTTTTTAAGAACCATATGTTGTTAAGAATGAAAAATAAAATTAACCTAGAGATATGGGAAATGATAAAGATAAAGTCCAACTATATTTCTGTTTTTATTGAATTTGACCATGATGTTTTGTGTAGTTTAGCTAAGAGTGCATTGGTAAGAAATTGAGACAGAATTTCCACCAATTTTCTCTACAATTAGCAAGTTAAAATGCAATTTTATATATTATTAAACATTTAACACATGAAAAAATACATCAAAGGATATTTACAAGTGATTAAGTTATCTTAGTTTCCCATCCAACTACCACTGGTACTATGCTTTTGCATATGTAAACATTTCTTTAGTAATACAGTATTGGCAACTTTCACAATGCAACTTCACTAAAGGGCATTTGAGTTTACTGAGCTAGTCTTTGCTTTTCATCTAAAACTGACTTCAATACTTAATATATTTGATAACACACAAATTGTTGTCCTACACAGTCATAAGTACAAAACAGCAATTTAATAACAATACAAACAATCCACCTCTCTTATTTTGTGGTCATCAGTATCTCTAGGAAAAACAGAGAAACATGCATTTGGGTTTACTTGACACCTGGTATGGTGGATTTTACTTTATATGAGTGGAGAATTAGCTGAGTGGTAGAGCACTAGATCACTTGGAATATGTGGTAAAAATGAGAAAATATCTGCTTTTCCTAAAACATGTTGCCATAGTAGCAATTACCTGGGTTCCTATCACATGTTCTGTATTCCTTTCCTATAAACTGAATACCTAGTGTGGGGAGTGCAATTTCAAAAAGGGTTCTAGTGTAATTTTTGAAACCACATTTCAAATCACCATGGCAACAAATCCTTAATAGTTACCTATGTTTTTTTTTTTTAATCTCAGCATAGAGATAATATTGTAAACTATATTTGCAAAGATTCTGTCATTTCTGGTCATGAGTTTTACATCTTCTAAAAACGAAACTCACTTGATACTCCTATGGAGATAAAATCATTTTCACAAATTAACTAATATACAATATGACTTAATGTCAATATTAATGGGACTGGGAATTTGAAGATGTCACACAGGCCTGTCTTACCCCGGAGAGGGCAATTCAAAGAAAAGGAACAAATAATTGACTTAAATGAACATCTGTCTTACTTAATTTTGATAATGATGAGATAAAGGAGGTGCAGAGAAGGTCAGTAGCCCTCAGAACCAGTAGTTAACATAATGAGGGACTTCCTCAGAGCTGTCCCTTGTTTGTCCATTCTAGATAACATCTTTCTGACCAGGAGATTAACCAGGATTAAGCATGATTAGATTAATGACAAGAAAAGTTCAAAAGACATTAGCCACGGAAAAGTAACACCATTGCTTTAATGACTATCTTGTGATATACTGATTAGCAGATCATTATACATCAAGGGGAATATTTTACATACTTGGGTGAAGAAAGAAATAATTGATTTGAACTATACTTGGGTGAGGAAAGAAATAATTGATTTGAACTTAAGTACTACACCATGGGTGAAAGTCTTCAGGATTATGCTTGATTTCAAAATTTTCAGTCTTCGAGATCTAAATTGCGATGAGAAATTGCAAGCTACATTTCAGGATTTTCAGTTTTTACAACTTTCACCCATGCTGTAAGAATTGCAAGCAATTTAAAACATTTTGATTTCATTTGCATGAAATGGTAATTACTATAGTTATCAATTTATATGGAAAGAACCACTTTGTGTTAGGGGTAAAGAAAAGTGAGAAAAATATAATAATTTGGTTCATGTGTTTGTATAAGTTTTAGAATGGGAACAATATGGTTTATGAAAGTGAAAGGAAAAAATAGAATAAATCAGTAAAACAGAATTATGTGTCTACATGGCATTCTATTTATTTGAAGAGCCTCCATGGTTTTTATGCAAGGTTTTCATGCCAAATCTAATTTTCCTTGAAAAGAAGAGAAATTTTAACCTGCCCAAGAATCACTGCTCAGCCTGTCCGTGCACTTGGATTCAGTATTTTGTATTATATCTAGTAAGATAACTTAGGATAGAAGTTATTGTACTAGCAGGATCGATCTATCTCAGCAGGAATTCTTGCAAAGGCACAGTCAATGTAATCAACTAAATTGTCTGGCATGCCTCCTCCCAAAGCTACATGAGCAACATCATGGTCCACAAAGTTTTCTTGACTTTACCCAAATACTTTAAGTTACGAGGGGGGGCACATTTCACATGACATTGTTTCAGTATCTAGCCAGGATGTAATAAGGTTGAATAGCCACTTTGTACATGTATATAACCACTGTCATGCATAAGACTCATCTCCAGTGTTGGTTTTAATTGACACATTATGATGATGAGGAGGAAAATGAAGTAAGGGTGTTAAAACACTCATTCCTTTGAAGATCTGAGAGGGACTTTTGGATGACTTTATTTAACATGTAATAGAAACATATAAAACATGCACTTGTTTTGTGGTACATTTGAGATGGCTTACATAAAGGTGCATATGTATTGCATGCCTACATGGAAACTTACATAATGGAGTGGTTATGGTAGGGTGCCAATAGGAATCATTTGAGACAGGTGACTTGGCATAAAATAAAGGGAGATTTTTAGAGATTTGGAAGAGAGATTTTCAGAAATAATGGCAGACTAGCAGTTTGGCAAAGAATATAAACTGAAATTTATTGTCTAAAGGTTTGTTATGAGCGTTTTCTCTAAAATTCTATCAAATTCTAGTCTATTGCATAGCATTACAAAGTCAACAGGTTTTGGGTGTCACATTTGTACCCTACATATAAGAGTTTCTATTTACTCTTATCAATATAAAGTTAACTCCACTTCATGTGGGTTTTTGCAAAATGTTTAGTCTCATTTGATGTCAAGCAATGCCAAGGGCCTTGTTTTAGGCTATATCAGACTAATCCCATTTAACACTTGTCAGCTGGCCAATGCTAATGCATTTGACAGACTCACCTGCAAAGTATGTTCTTTTCTTTTTTTTGACATATTTTCATGTTACCTTATTGCATTCCTGCAGAGAAAAAAATGTGCATCACCTTGTAATAATCATGCAGCTTTAGTTTTACATATGTACTATCATTTTGATCACCTATCATAAAATGCCAATTGATTTAATAGGAAGTCATACTATTGAACTTAATATTGATTGAATTTTTGTGTTTTTTTTTTTTTTTTTTTTTTTTTTTTTACATAGAGGGACAATTATTTTCAATAAGACATTTAGCTAAATCGGCCATCTTTTATGTGAACATGCACCTCTATTTATTTATTGCATTGTGTGCCTGGTAGTCCATTCCTGTAATAGACTGACACCTGAATCTCTGTTTCATACAATTACAATAATGATGTATATGTACATTTAGAACAAGCTGTGTAGTAATGTTGATAATCAGTAACACAGAATATAATTGAAGTCAAGTTATGTATACTAAGGCCAAAAGGTTACAATGTTGTCTGATGACCAAGGTTTTCTATTCTACTTAGCATTAACAAATGTAAAAGAATTAACATATATTTTGACAATTGCCTTTAATGACTGCTGTGTAAATAATGTTATTTCCTAGGGCAACATGTAACATGGAAATTTGCATTCATTTGTAAGTTGCAGAATTAAAAAAAGATATAAAGGAAGAGAGCCTTGAACTTAATTTCAATTATTTTCTTCAATGACTTTTTCTTTTCAGTACAACTCTATAAAAGGAACATAATCTGTTTTTTTTTTTTTTAGATATTTTAATTTTCATTTTGTATACTAGGCATTGATGCTAAGTGGTTAAGAGTATAAGCGATTTCTTTAAGGGCTTTCCTTTGAATGACGAATGAGAGGTCATACTTTATATAGAAATTGTATAGAAATTATCAGCTGAGTATGGATATTTTACCTGGAATGTGGGCATATTTGCACTTTTCAAAAGTTTGGATACATATCAACCAGGGTTAAATAAGAAAGAAAAATGAACATATGGTGCTTGTATGCTCAAACAATGGAGATTGCCTAGCTAACCAAATTATTTGATGTAAAAAATTCAAGTAATTTAGTGTTGAATATGTAAAAATAAAATGAAAGAAATCTCATTTCTGATAGTCATCACATTTGCTAAAGGTTTCTGTACAAAATGAGGCTCAGTCTGATATGAAAGTTTGCTTTATGCCAGTAACATGTGAAAACCTTATTCTATACAGGCAGATAAATAATGGATAAGATGAATAAATTGATTAAGATGATTCAAGTATATTCACCATCTTTCTTACTTCCAATGATGGGCAGTTGTGCCAAACAGTGACCTATGTCATAACTATGACATGACATGCAAGTTTTTTCTGATTCTGTGGTCTAGTGCATTATGGGACGTGGTGGCACCTGGATAGCTAATGGCAGCATGATGCCAGAGTTTGCATGGTTCAGATGTCACGAGTGTGAATACTGCCGATTTTGTCTGAGATTTGAATATCTGATTTCATATCGTTTGATGTGGTGAAAAGGTCATACATTAGCGTCTGTCTGTTCTGCAAATAAGCCACTAGTCCATTGAGAAAAAGATTGTAATATTATGTCATTGTATTTATGCATTTTGCCTTTTTGTGCATGACAGGATTGAAATAGACTAAAGTGTATTAATTAAAAAAAAAAAAAAGATGAACCATCTTGTGGATATGGAGTAATTGACCACAAAGGAGGAACTATGTCTGTCATTTAACAATTAGAGTTTTAATTTTCTGACATAATTTTTTTGACAAAAATGCCATTGATTTTTTCTTTAAGCATAAAATCAACTTAACAGTTCTTGAATATGTGAAAAAAAATCTACCAAGGTCACTGAATTACTTATTTCAAATGTCATCAAAACTACAATTTTGCAATGTGATTGCTGAACATTTTTTACTTCAATATTTTTTTCAATTGATGCACTTTTAACTTTTAATACCTAAAGTTGCTATCATGACACAAACTGTGTGTTGCTTTAAGGATTATTATTGAGTTTCTAAGACTTTTAATAAGTAAGATCACTTTCAAGATAATTGTAACTCAGACATTTTTTGTTTGTTTGTTTGCAATGTTGTACTTGAAGATTGTACAACATTGATTATACAAATATTCACTAAATGTGTTAAAAGTCAAAATTCAGATAAAATGTATGATCAAACTGAAAGCTGTTTGGTACATTTTTTTTCTTTTTCTTATTTTTTTCCAGGCTGAAGACTCTGGGACAGATGCAGGCATCAGATGAACTATCAGAGCAGCAAGTGAGACAAATGCTATTTGATTTGGAGTCCTCATACAATGCCTTCAACAGGATTCTCCATTCAGAGTAAACTAGGAATGTGGAGGGGACAGGGACAGTAGACTAAACGATTACTGGAGGGATTTTTACAGAGGACATTACATGGTGGGATAAATAGGCTCACACTAGCATTCATCAAAAGCTTAAGATGATGAGAGAGAATTTATTCTCACACCTTTGGTGTTTTTTACTTACTTTTAAATTATTTTTTGCAAATTTTTTTTGATATTTAAACTGAAATGAAAAAATGTGCTAGAGTGAGCCCTGGAAATAGCATGATATCTTGAAGCATGATATTTGAATATTTTCATTTCATCATTATTTTGAATCAGCAGTGCTATTAACATTTCATGGACATCCAAGACAAAGGACACTTGTATCATGATTATACATACTTTTTATTTAAATATTACATCCGATGTATCAGCTGCAATAAGATTATGATAATGATGTGGTGTAATATATATTTTAAGATCACTGATGGATCTAATTATGAAATGTGCCACATACCCCCGTGTTGTATAAAACATAACTGTGTGGAATGACTAGGCGTCTAGACATGAAGGAAATACCATTGAATTCTTTATTGCTTGTGATGGTAAAGCTGCAGGCAGAATATAGTGCACACATTATCCCCTTCCTGCAGTTACAACATCATTGTAAAATCATTAAAACATTCATTTGAAATATTAACTTAAACATTTATTCAAACAATATAAAATATCTGAAAATATGAAGATAGGCCATTGCACATTTCAGTTGGTGACATTTTAATTGCAGTTGTCATTTATTTATTTATTTTTTATTTATCCTGTCTTTAACATGGAATTAATCATTTAGAACAATAGTTGAAATGCTTGGAATTACTACAAACCATTTTAACCACATTGGTTATATATATCAATTGAGTTCAATTGTCTCCTGTCCATAATATGTACATATGTTGAAATTATTTTAATATATAATGTGCTATATATGATGACACGAGTACTTATTGTTGTATTTTATGAATAATGAAATGGCATCCAACCCAGAAGAAGGCTGAATCCTCTTTTTTCTCTCTTAGTTATGTTGTTCCAGTTTATGCTGGCAACTAGTCTACTAGATAACTTGGTAATACATTTAAATGCTTTAGAACTGAAATTCTTTTATATCACCCTGAGCTTGTATATATTCACGTAATTTATAAATATGCAGAACCTGTATAAAAATGGGTTGTAGTACCAGTACAAGTGTAATCCAGTGCATCATTGTTGTATAATGAAATCTGTGAATGTTTATTAATTCCCCCTTTAAATGTTAATTGTAAAATGAAATAAAACATTGGATTTTGTGTTCAAATGAATATGAAACTTTTTGTTCTCAAAAATTGCCAAATGAGGAGGGGAATTTCCAAAAAAAAAAAAAAAAAAAATTCTATTCAAATAAGTGATAAAAAATGATCATAATGTATAAAGCAGTTGCAGAATTTGGACATACTCATATACGTCCTCATATGATCACCAGTTTTCTATATTCTACTCAGCACCAGGAGGAAGCGTATAAGTCAGTTTATCTGATTGCATTCAGCGGGAGTCCCTTTGGTGCACAAAAGAGAGTAAGCCCCCCCCTCTACTTAAATGTAAGGACCTCTCAAAGTGGACCTGTCCAGTTATATGTACCACTTGAAATAAAAAGGACCTAATGCACTATTCCATCTTCATCTGCCAAGTTTCTGTGCACTTCTGGGATGGCCATTAGCACCTTGTTATGAGTCCCTTATGTTGTGCTGTCTATGCCCAGAAAAATATAGATTTGCATGGACTTTTTAAAAATATTTTTATTTGTGAAAAAATGAGTTTCATCAGTTTCAGACTGTTTTATTGGCAGTTGAATTTTAGCATTTATTGAGTGCATATTAATAAGGTCAACTAATTTCCACCAAATAAGGCAACAGCTGTATTTAGACATATTAAGCCAAATCCATTGGTTAGATGTCACATTACACAAAAAAATGCACTAACATTCCATTTAAGTTGTGGTTAAACATTCTGTAGTTGATTTTTTTAATGTCGACTAACGTAAGTCAGTATGTTCCAAGTGGTTTTTAAACAGCACCATCATGTCTAGAAATTTAGATTTTGGTGAAATATATCTTTGTGTTGAAAAGGTCTATATGTCAGCAAGTGCTGGGGGACAGATGGCAAGGGCCTCAGAGATTACCTGTTTGAAATTCGTGTCAGGCAAGAGGAAGAAAAATTGTCTGCTAATGTCTTTGTAGCAGACAGAATTTATCATCTGTGTTTAAGGGCTAAGCTGAGAGCACTGATAGAGGTTGGGGAGGTGAACCGGAGTTCTTGATGTGAAAACCCATTGTGAATGATGCATATCTTTTGTTGCAGGGGAGATCAATAAGTGGTGATTTTAGAGTGCGTATGTGGTATGTGTCTCCGTAAGTTTTATTGGCTTGCAAATAAAAAATTGTCACATGAATGCTCTGACATTTGTAAATCTAAATTATGCATCATTCCACTCTTTGGGATTTTTAACAGAGAACTTAATGGGCTGACATGGAGAAAATTACAGTAACTGTGAAGCTCACTGTAGTTTGCAAGGGGATGACAATGCTGTACACTGTACTGTTTCTACACATGCATCATCATCAATGAGATCAGGGAGGCAAGGGGGTCTAGCTGTGAACCTTGAACTGTTTGCATGTTCAGCAAGGTCCAGGATTTCTAGTTCTCCATCATCTGTCTATGACTGCATATTTACATACGCGATAAAATCGCAGTTACCTTCTTTAGAAGTGTGATGTTCCCCTTATGGTATCCTCTGCAACATTAAGTCCCTGAGTGCCGATGTTAACAAAAGATATGGTGGTAATGCGGTGAAAGGTCCGCACCCATTGAATAACAGACACAATGACTACTTATACTTTAACTATGCATGCAATATTTCAATATAAAATTTTCAAAATTCAGTCTGGCAAGTGATATTTTGCTGAATTTCACTTCTAGTTTGGAAGCACTCATTAGATGATATTATTGATTTTTTTAAGTGCATGCAGTATTAATTGGGACAAAAAAGGAGAATTAACGTACCTTTTTAGACCCCCCCCCCCACCTCTTTAAATCTTTATAAAATATATGCACAATCAACTTAACAAGTTTAATATTATTGTACATAACCAACAGAGCTACACCATGCAAGCATGTTAACTTTTTTTTTAAATTGCAGTTTGTTATTATACGTTGACAAATATTAATGTTTAGTATCTAAAGAAATAGTGTTTAAAAGAAATAGTTAAATTTTAACATTCGAATTGTGTAGGAGAAGTAGCTTTTTATCCTTTGCAATCAACTGTCACAGTGCAGCAGAGAACAAACTCAAAAGCAGATGGTCCATTATTTAATCCACTGTGGTTGTCCCCGAAAATCGGCATACATTTTTCATGACTGCACTGAGACACTGACACCCACCGTGCCAATCTAAGATGCCATTTGTTTTCCTTGCTGTCCATCATAGCTCCACTGATGGGTTTTTGATACCAGAAGTCCTCATTGTTGTGGTGAAAAGAGCACATTGGGGGCTCTTGTGAACATTTTGATTTTAGCCCTTCCTAAAACTTGTTTTGAAAAGATTTGGTTAGAAACAAACAGTTGCATAGCATTGAGACAGCATGTCAAGTTGATATATTTCTGTTGTAATATTTGGTCCATTTTTATATTATTTTTATTTTAGTAAACTTAATTGTTAGTAAAATTCATATGGCAAGTCACTAATGGTGTTGTTATTTGTTGTAGTGAATATAAGTGAGAAATGGGCACCAAGTAAGTGAAATTTAATTGTCTCCTTGCATGACCGACAAGTTAGAAAAGTTAAGAATGAGAGGCATCTGGGACATTCAACCCAAGGCATGGAAGTTTCAAAGCTTTTTAGCATCTTATTGGATTATGGATTATTTTTATACTCAGTACGAAAGTGGAAAAAATAATGAAAAAATTTTAAAGTTTATTAAACCATCAGTTTTCTGTAAGTGTAGTTCATCTGCACTTGAGTTCGTCTTCATTAAGTTCTTATTGATATAGCTTACATCTTCTATATTGTCGCCTTTAAGAATCAAAATGCTACACATGTACTAAAATTGCCCTGATCTAGTCTTTTATCCATAAATTCATTGTAGTTCCCCCACCCCACCTATTTTCGATTGCAACTTTTTTCTAGTTCTTATGATTGAACACTCGAATTGATGTAAATGTAAAAAATGGTTCAGATGGGATTATTTTTAGGCAATGCTGTTTTATGTTATGTATGCCTTGTTTTGTCCTGAAACTGCAAAAAGACTTTTAAACAGGTTAATTTTTTCACATTTTGAGAGACTGAAATGCATGAGTAGGTCGTAACCCTTTCAGACTTGATACAGATGCTGTATTTTAATGATACTAAATGATATGAATTGTTTTATTTTATCATTTTAGTCTGAATTGCCATTAAATTGAAATACAGTTAATTCTTGAATGTAATACTATTAAGTATAATGCATTGTAATAAATCAATGGTAAACCTGTGAACCCCTAAACCAGACACTCAAGCCACTAGTATGTGGCAAGGGCCCTATTTAACAGCGGTTTTCTAAGTGCATGGCATGCCTACAAAATTTTACCAAGGTTATTAAGTGGTCCAAAGTCATAAAACATAATTATTTTCTACCTTGTTTTTTAGTGTTCTTTATACTTAATTTTTTTTCCGGTGTTAGAGTACATCTAAGTTATTCACTTTGTGGTCAGAATTGTTCTGACACTTAAGATTATTAAAAAGGTATCTTGGATTAGTGTTAGGGGTGGCATTTTGGAATTTTGGGGCCTGTCAGGTATACAGAGTGCTACCTCATTCTATCTGCATAAAATTCCCATCAGACATTGACTTCTGCTACTGTCCACTTGCGCTCACTACAAAAATACATGCGGAAAGAGATCAAATAAGCGATATGGCGAATGGTGCGCACACTGTATGGGCCGTATTTGTGGTAGGCCGAGGTAAAACAAAACAAATAGATTGAGGAAAGGGATAGGTGACTGGACCAGTAAACAGGTGATTTGTGGTTAGAACGGAAGCCGGATTGTGAAATTCTTGAAACAGTTACAGTACAGCGTCACTGTGCCACTGTTCAACATTGGAAACATTGATTCCTATCATCTTGATGGTTACTGTCAGAGCATCATCAACATACTGAAGGTGTGGGGACATAGTCACCACAGTTAATTACATTTCCTATTTCTATGTTTTCTTTTTTGCATATGCTCTCCTCCCCCACAGATCATCATTACACAAGTTTTCCTGTTAAAAATTTTTTTTTTGACAATGTTTTTTTTTTCTTGTTATGATGATTCACAAATGAATAGAAGTGGTTGGACAAACTAAATGTAAATTATTTTAAAGACTTTTTGAGATCAGTATTGATTTTTTAAAAGGACTGGATATAGTGTTATAATAGAACACAATGATATATAAGAAAGTATTGTGATTCTGTGTTAAAGGTATAAGTTAAAAAAATAAATAGTTAAAAGAAGAGAGATGCAAGCAGTTTCTTTTTAACTCAAATTAAACCATTTGTTGCTTTTTGTACAATAGTAAAGCAGCAAAAGTTACTGAAATAGTTTTGTTTAACATGAATGTAACTCTTCACGTGTTTGTTATTTTTGGACACAGAAAAACAAAAGATGACCACAAACATTCATAAAGATGATGACATTTGCCATGATCCAAAGATAAGATACTGGCGTCTACAGTGCGTTTGTCTCCCTGGACATGCCCATATATGGAAGATACATTGCTTAAAACTGTCAACAAGTAAACAGATGTTTATAGAGATACCAGCTGAGTAATCTAACAGTAGTCTGATCATCAGAAAGATAGGTCATAAGTTAACGGTAAAATGGTTTTGGTCGCGTCATATCTCTGGTGTGCACTAGGTGGTACTGGCTTGGGAGATGGAGTCACTGATTACTCGGGGTATGGGGCGGTGTGGAAAGTGAACCTGTCCTGAGAGGTCACGCCTTGGTCACACCTGGTCACTCCTATTAAATTGATCTTTGGAAGTGTGACTGTTTCTTTGAATCATTCAGTCATTGTCTTTATGACTTTGAATTCCAGGAGGAACTTAGTTTTCTCTTCCTTTTAGAAGTTTAAATAGACCTGGAATTTTAGAAGTTTCTTTAAAATAGACAAGTCAGTGCTTTTTAAGAAAACTGGAATTTTTGTGTTGTAATTGAAAATAATGAAGAAAAAAATATATATGTATATAAGATCAATTGAAGTAAATAAAAGTAAGTGATTGCTATTGCTGAAGCAATACCAGTTGTGGGCAATGATGGTACCGCTTCTGACACAATGTTGCATAGATTCAAAGAACAGCCAAGTGATGATATTGTTGAATTGGATTTTTTTGGCAATAAAAAAGCTCAATGTATTAAGTAATTATTTGACACAAATATCAAAATTAAGGACACATACTCTAATGAATGGATCTAGGAAAAAATTAGATTCATTGAAAAAGGAAAAAGAGCTCCATCTTTTTATGATCAGACAGTATTTCAATGTTTACTTGAAATTTACAAGGAGAGGTTTCATGATAGAAATGCAGGTCAAATTTAAAAATTAACACTTGGATTGACCCAATAACACACACAAACTATCTTTGTGTTTGAGTCTTGAATATGAATTTCTGTAAAATTTTATGCCTTCTTACATTTGAAATATTGTTAAGAAGGTTATCTGTACTTGGCAAGTAACAAACTTAGTCTATTGAAAATACAAAAATCAACTGATAAAAATGTACTTGTTCCTTTTTTGTATTCAAAGATTAAAAATGTACTTGCTAAGTAAGAAATCCAGCAATTCTCAAGCTTCAAAAAATAAATATTATATTATCATGTTCATTAGTTGGCCAAGGAGTGTTCAGTGACATATAGTATGCTCTCTGTTTATGATAATAGCCTTTATTTTCTGTTGAATCACTCCCCTTTAAAGTTGTTTTGCAATACATGTACATACAGTCATGCAGTGTTATCATTGTAAGTGAAACCAAAAGCACACATTTGTGTAGTGTGTTTTAATTTGACCATTTGATACTAATACTACTACTACTACTATTATAACACAGTTACTGTTTATACCAGACTATTCAATCTGTTTCATTGAACACATTTCAGCGCATTGCATTGAACGCATTTCATTTTGATTGTTATGTTAAATACTTAAAAGAACTTTGTATCACTGCAAGTATATAATAAGAAAATCTTATAAGTTAAAGGAGAATGTCACTTTCTAGGGTTTCTGGGGCCTAAAAAGGACTAAAATTTATTTTTAAATCATTTGCAGTCTTTTTCTGTGCATTTTGCTGGCTTCATGGGAAGCAGAAGTTAGCGGCTTCTGCCAGCTTTAAGTTATTGCCGCATAACACTCACTTATCTGCCATTCTGACCCCACTCTCCTCCAAACTCATGAAATCTTGCTCATTTTGGAGACTTCAGCTATGATTCCCATTATCCACTTTTATGATTTTGTGATTTCTTTGTTATCATATTGTAGGTTATTTTATCAATATAAGCATTTTTAACTCAAAAGTGTCAAGGCTTTCATTTTTATGTCATTATCCTTACATAATTATAAAACGGAGCAAATAATTTTTCTCTCTAGACAGTTGAGTTTTTAAAATTATGAATATTCGAAAAAGCAGCAAGTCTCCTTTCAACAATATATAACTGACAAATAACAAAATGTCTAACCTAACAACATCTTATCTGTATCAGACTCTAGGAATCAAATGTACCATATCATGCTTTAAGCCTCAGGGTAGGCTGGAGAAGTGGGTTCATAAGTTCAGATAGAGCGCATTCTCAANTCAACGAATTAAGCCAGGCTTTACAAAGCCGGTGACCTAAAAATGGCGGACGTACATGAAAGAAAAACCGCCTAATCTTTTAATAGTCTCTCCGCCTCTCACACGCCTCCCCACACGTCGTCCCTGCGGGGTACAGTAATTAAATCTCGGTTCCGAACATTAATATTTCCGTGAATATCTCTGGTGATATTATCTCCGTAGATAGTCGATTCATTGCTGCTACGGGCCAAATTATTCCTTTTTCGTCTCTGTTTTCAAAGATAATAGAACAGAAGAGCTTTTTTCCTTCGATCGCCTTCAGCCGCCATGCTTTCTTCACCACGAGTTTAACTGATAAGCATGCGCACTTAATATTTCTCAGGTAGCTTCCGCATGGCGAACGGAGACGCGATTTATTTACTGTACCCCGCAGGGACGACATGTGGGGAGGCGGAGAGACTATTAAAAGATTAGGCGTTTTTTCTTTCATGTACGTCTGCCATTTTTAGGTCACCGGCTTTGTAAAGCCTGGCTTAATTCGTTGACAATGCGCTCTTAGACAATGTTGCCAACTTTTTAGAAGGACTCAGGCTATTAACAGTAAGAAAAAAAAAAACAGTAAAAGTCATGAAAATTTTAGCAATGTGTTCTCACAACTGGACGTGTCCTATAATGTTTTTAGTGACGTATCTTACAGCACATTCAGAACAGCAGACTAACAAATCTGTGGATTAAAAATGGTCAGTCCACTTGAATGCCTGTGGCGTAATCCCTGCGGGGAATCCATTCAGTGTCTCGTCGGAAATTAAGCGTCAAGCTCTTTAGTCAATAGTGGGTCACCACATTTGACCAGGGTATCTGTTAGTCTGCTGTTATGAATCCACTCTCAGTGTCATTATTTTAACAGAATGCAAATTGAACATACCTAGCCCTGACCCTCTCCAAAAGACTTGTATAGATCCCAAGTCTGGTAGTAGTGTATGTTGCCTGCCTTAGCAACCCTGCTGATAGACTGCAGAGAAAGAGAGAGAGACAGAGAACTAATAAGTCAAAACTGTATTAATATTATCTGTGATGTCATATCAATGTTTGACGGTATGTATATGTCAGTAATGCTATCATTTCGTATGTCTATGTGTGTTTGTGTGCCTATCCATCTGCATGTTCAATTATCTCTAAGTATCTATGCCCAAATATGTGTGTGTGTGTGTGTGTGTGTGTGCCTGTCTGTCTGTCACCTTGTCAGTCTGTCTGATTGTCTATCTGTCACCTTGCCAGTCTTTTGGAATGTCTATATGTCACCTTATCAGTCTGTCTGATAGTCTATCTGTCACCTTGTCAGCCTGACTGATTGTCTATCTGTCACCTTGTCAGTCTTTTGGAATGTCTATCTGTCACCTTGTCAGTCTGTCTGATAGTCTATCTGTCACCTTGTCAGCCTGACTGATTGTCTATCTGTCACCATGTCAGTCTTTCTGTCTATCTGTCACCTTGTCAGTCTGTCTGATTGTCTATCTGCCATCTTGTCAGTCTGACTAACTGTTGGCTTGTTACCCTGTCTGTCTGGCTGTCTAAAAGCCTGTCTCAAGAGAGAAAGTGTACTTACCCAGCAAACAAGCCATTAAGTCCTTCCTTAACATGGATGGCCCTGATGGCATCAAAGGAACTGTTGTAGAGCCTAGGCGCCCCTCCTTCTCCTAGAATATAATGTGATATACTTGGCTTGACTAGATACCAAAGCTGGCAAACATACAGGAAAATCAGGGTGGTCAATTACTGAAGCCTCTTCGCAAAAAAAGGAGCACAGATACACCAATACAGAAAGATACACGCACGAATGCGCACGCACATACACAGTGACTGTGACTTACACCAATGCCAGTGCATTTTTGGTGAAGTGAATAATTACATAGCTAATTTAATAAAACATGCAGTACTTCGTTTTTCTATGTACAATGTACTGGGAAACTTACGTACCACTTAATTGCAATCTGTTCTTCACCACATCCAAGGGTTGCACAAAGCATGTTGCCAGCATGCTGAAAGAAAATGGAACATTATGTTTGCATCACTGTAACTTAAAATCTTCAAAAGCTACATGTGTTTATATGGATTGAGGTTGTAGCCTGCAACATGTAGGGTACTGTAGGCATGGCATATTTTGAGGGTCAAATGACAATGTTAATTATATTATTATAAGTTTTTATTGTATGTTCTTTGTTCTGATAGCTGGCATTGTGAATAAAAACAAGATAGATAGGGTGTGTAAAAACAGGCAGTTTTATGCAACTTGTTATACTTGAAAGAGGCGCTTGAAAGATGTAATTTTGCATTGTGATTTACTAGCGTGGTGTACTGTAAACTCATTTTACATGCTATTTCAATTCATTAACTTATCAAGGTGTTACCACATATGTGTAAGCATAGCCAGTACATATCAGAATCGTCAAAAGGAGTGCTTATTCGCATGAATTTTCGTGCTACGTGCTACGTTGACCTCTAACAATCAATGCAATACCAATGCGTTTCCGTTCATTCGGAAGATCGCCATGCAAAATCTTTCATTCGCTTCGTTTTGCGATGAAAACAAAATTGAAATGACGAATAGCACAAAACCTGGAGCTGTCCCTTCACTAAATGACAACAAATTCTTACCCCGCGCTTCCCCCAAAGAGGAACTTAACACGCTTGGGGATCCCTTTATCCGCCATCTTGCCGCTTGGTGACCTTTACCTGCTCCACTTCACGAACGTGTAATGTGACACAAACATTTCTATTTTCCTTTTGGTTATTTTCCAATGTTTGTTTTTTCATTTTTATTTAATTATACATATTATATGTATCTCTCATAAATATCAATATTTGTGTCACATGACACGTTCGTGATAAGCTGTATGGAGCAAGGTAAAGGTCACTGCTTTAACCATTTTTGGCCTATAATAATTTTATTGTACCTTCTACCTGAGGAGTGCGTTTGAGTTTAGGTGCTCAGTTTTCAAGGAGATTGAAGTAAAAAATTCCAAATACTTTGTATCAGTGTTCTTTTTTTTATTCTTTAACAGTGAGGAGAAACATACCAAGAAAAAAAAAAACTGTGCCACACATACATCCAAGCCTCTACAGTTACATTATAGACTTTAGCTGAATAACTGTTATACTGAATATTAACAAATTCTGAAATTCACAATTATTTCACTTTCTTTTCTTGTGGCAAATTGTTTCTATCAACAGTAAGTTGCAGAGAAAACAAATTCAGCGTCTTTGCACCACCAATATTATGTCCCACTCTTTCAGTTACATGTTCAGTAATGAAAAAGAATCCATTTTTGTACATCAAGTTACTTCTAAAGCACTGTATTTAATGGTATCCTTGTATCTAAACTGGTATGCTGAAGGTAATTTTTTAAAAGAAAAAAAGCAATTTTTTTACCCACCAATGAGTGGGGTCATTGCAGAGGTATCAAAAAGACAAAACATGATCAATATGGACAATTTTTGCATGTGC